TTTTTTTTTTTTTTTTTTTTTTTTTTTTTTTTTTTTTTTTTTTTATCGTTAAATAAATTTGTATTGATCAAAAATGAAAGTCATACAACCGAGACGGCTATCAAAGCATAGTGGGTAGACACAGGTCGTCTCCTCACTCGCAAGAACCAAAATAAACGAGGCCAACCACAAGTCGGGTGCTCACTCGAAGAAGGGGAAGCAATAGACTTCCTCTCCAATAGCTCACACACTTTGCAACAACCAACTCAAAACATAGTAGTGGATGAACTGGGCTTAGTAGTGGATGACTATTGGGCTTCATTTAGGCCTATTTATTGAGACCAAATGACATATTGAATGGGCCTAATCAGCGAAATCAATAATAAAAAGGGAAATTTACATATGTGGAGTCCCCATATTAAATATTTACATATATACGTTTTGGGGCTGGTTCAAATAAAAACTAATCCTGGTGTGAGAACCATATTTCATGTTATTTTTTATTGTGTACGAAGCTATTTTTAATATTAGATGATGTTATCATTTTCACAAATGCTAATATAAATTGTGTTGCTATTTTTAATAAAATTCATCCTGGTTAAAAATAGCATCAAACACAATCAATCATAGCACTACGCACTATTAAAAATAGCGGTTCTCACGGTTCTTACACTAAGACTTCGTTCTCATTTGAACCACATCCTATACGTTCTTAATAACTTTTCATCAAAATGAGATTTTGATGGGATCTTTTTTTTATATATACGAAATGACTTTTATGCACCAGCTATTAATTTTCTCTCCTACATATTAAACATGCATTGATTCACAGCTAAATAACCACAAGCAAAAAAAGGTAAATTAAAAATAATAATAATAATAATAACTATCAATCTTATACCTAGAATTAAAGGATTGAGGTATTCAAAAATTGAAAAATTCGAAAAAAACTAAATGAATAAACACCAAATCTTATACCTAGAATTAAGGGATTCACGATTTCAAAATTTCAAACGGTTAATCGACATCCTGAATTCAAAAAAAAAAAATCGTCCAACCACCAAATATAGGTTTAGATATATTGTATATATACATCAGATAAACATGACCTGACAGTTTTCTATAATTAACCGTATATTTATACATAAGATAAACAACATATAAACAATTCTGAAATGGGATTAAACGTAATACGCAATTCTGAATGACTGCAAAATCCAAATCGAATCTAGTTATACATAAGATAAGCAATATATAAACAATTCTAAAATTGGATTGATTGACCTCACCACTCTCAGTGTCATCCCTTCATCTCCTCAACGAGCCCTGGTGCATCTTCGACGTTGCACGGGTAAATCATAGCATTGCTCGAAGCCGATTGACGAATTGGTTGATTTTAATTCCTATTTCGTATTTCAATTGAGATATGAACCATAACAAGTAAGAAAGGAGTTGGGTCGCCGAGAGCCATCAGAACCACTGATCTTCGATCCGCCTTCGTTATCCGCCATACAAACTCCAATCGTGACCCTTACCCGGTCACGACCTTCTCAGCTGTCGTCGTCAAAAGGGTGATGGGGGTGGGTGGTCCATGAATTGAGAAAAAAAATCCGAAAAGGAAAAAAAAAATGGAGGAAATTGGCTAATACTTGGCACCGATTCCATCTTGCCCTTGTGCGATTTGAGCCGTCTCGTGAAGAAATAGATAGAGAAGGAAGAAATAGAGCAGGGATGCAGAGAGAGAGAGAGAGAGAGAGAGAGAGAGAGAAAGAGTTGCCATGGGAAACTAAATATACAAATTAAATCTTTCGTATTTGTGATGAAAAGTTTAGCACTTTGTAATTTAATATTATTTGTCAAATCATTAGTAAGGAGAGTATTTTTCTCTAATAAAAATAGTTTGGTACAAAACAATTAAGGTACAAGTAAAAGTCGAAAAAATGATTAAATTAAATTTGAGATAAAAGAGTGATCGAGTTAAAAGCTTTTCAAAATCTCTCTATTCACAAAGTTTGAGACTTTTGAGCTCGTTTACATATCCAAAATGTTGAAGTTTGAACACGACGCTATAGTGGGGGCATGACTATTCATATAAAGTTGGTGCAAACACAATATATGGTGGTCCATACGAGTCCTTTCCCCCTTCTTTGCGTGAGGCCCATTTTGATCCATACTTTTTCAAAGGTGATATGAAAATGCTCTGGAAATTCCTATAAAGTAAGATATGCTCAATTAAATGATATAGATAGATATTGCAAAATAATTGTGAGTATTACTACGATACCGTATACTAATATTTATATAAATATATAAAAATATTAATATCTTTATTATGAAATTCTAAAATAAATATACAATATATAATGAATAACTAATAGAGTGGTAATTATTTCAAACGATACACGTTTTTACTTTAAAATTATAGGAAATGATAATTATTTTAATTATATTTATAAAATATTATATGTCTAACACAAATATTATTTGCAACTGTGCTAATTTGATTTAGATTTTTTTTTAAATTATTTTCAAACATGATTATTTTATAATTATGATCTACATTAATTAAGTCTCTCTCTCTCTCTCTCTCTCTCTTATATATTATGTATTCTAGTATCATATATACATGCATTAAAATAAGTTAAAAATTTAAAATAACCACTTGTAATAGTAATATTTATTTATGTTAATCTAATTTTTTTATATTATTTCAAATAAGTTTAAAAATTGAATAAAGTAAAAACAATATAACAACATTTCATAAGTTCTAATGTTGAGTTGTATATTAAAATCATGAATATATTATATATTTGAATACAATATACATATATACACACATATTTTCACCCATTCTTTATGATGTGTTGGCGACCTGGATAAGAGGTGAACCGACTATTGTAAATCTCCGATCGTCTGGAAACAAGTGACGACCTGCAAAACAAAGGGTCCGGAGGCACTCCCTTCGTGAACACTCCCACGCTCAAGTTAGTATAGGAAAGATGATGATAATCTTTGTATTTACAGGGTTGTATGGAGTGTGTAATTTGGGGAGATAGAACCAGAATAGTTAAATATATAAACAGTAAATTCAGATGTAAGTTCACTCAATTGCGGAAGCATGATTCTATATTTATGTAAGTGAGATTATGTAAGTTCACTCAATTTCATAACATCATATAACAATACTTAGAATATAATCAAGAAAATTAACCCTATATTTATGTAAGTGAGATTATTCAATTACGATTGGACAATTTCATCACAAAATAACTATTATTGTTGCATATCAATTAGATAAATTTGAGTCAGTATAAATGGTATGATTGTGTACAAAAAATAAACGATCACATTCACAGCCGTCTATAATAAACGATCCACTGATCTTAAGAAAAGTTGAAAAATTTTGAATGTGTTGATATTTGTCAGCTTGATCACGTAGATTCCCTTTTGTCTTCATGCATAAAATTATGCATGCCATCATTTTGCTAGATAAGAGCTAATTCCTACACTGGCAAGTTTTCTAAAATTTACATCTTTATTATGATGAGTTGATCATGTTAATAAATAGATCATCTCACACTAAAATTTATGTTAAGATAAAAATGCGTATATTTTATAATTTTTTTTTTGGATAAAAATGTCTAATCATTAAGTAGGTCGATCTGTCATACTTTTTGAATTAAAATACTTATTTATATTATCAAATGATCATACTTATGTTTATATTAGTTTTCAAAAGATAAAACTTAATAATAAAAGTATGAATATTTGTGGGAACAAAAAATATATGCTGATGTAATGTTCAGGTAAAATAGAACTAGTGTATTTTTTTATGCCTAAAACGATAATTAATTTTTGGAACAAAAAGGATAGAATTAGGATCGGGACCATTACACATTAGTCATTCTTCACCTTTCATTCATTTTTCCCTTTTCCACTTTTTCTAAATTTATTTTGACAACTTTAATTGCTGATTGCTCCCCGCTTTTGCATTAAATAGAAAAGTCTGCCCCTTTTGCCCTTCCATCTTCTAAGTTCACACCGGCACATGTTACAATTCTCCCACACCTTATCCCTCTCTATAAATTGAAACCCCCCATTCCTAAACAAACCCATCCCCAATCCCACAATAACGACCAACCAAACGCGGCACTATTTAAAAAAAAAAAAATATGGCTAAGGCCACTACAGTTTTTGTCGTAGCACTCCTGTTCTTCTCTCTATGCTCGGCCACTCGTCGCGGGCCGATTGCTATTTCTGACGTGGAAGCCGGAAACGAGGTTTGGCATGCTCAGATATGTTTTATTTTATTTTATATTATTTTCGTGACAATATATACCATGTTTGGTTAGTGGATTTCTAAGGAAAATTTATGTCTCATCAACAGGTTAACAAGGAAGCTCAAGTTGATGAAGGCTGCAAAGGAATTGGAGAAGATGAGTGTTTAACGAGGAGGACCTTGACAGCTCACGTTGATTATATTTACACCCAAGAGAATAAGCCTTAGGAATTATTGCAAAGATAATATTTCTCAACCTTTTTTATTTTCTTTTTGGATGTTGTCCTAATTAATATGTAATGAATAATTACATGTATACGGTCTTATGATCGACCTTATTAGCATTATACGAATATTATCGATATATACACGATGGACCGGTTCGTTTCACTAGAACCGTACGTATGACTACTGTAATGTAAGGTGTGAAAAAGACTCGAATGTTGTAATAATTTCCTTCTGACAGATATATGATGAATATAAATATATGATGTTTTTGTGTTTGTTCCTTTTTTTAATTTTCTTTTCTCGGTTTGAGGTATTATTGTCTGGTAGATTCGCCTCGGAAAGCTAAAAGCTATTAAAAAATGCTTCGATACAATCAAAGCGTTGACTGTCGAT